GGCACAGGCCCTTAATCCCAGAACTTGGGAGACAGAGGCAGGTGGTGGATCTCTGCCAGTTCAAGGCCAGCCTGGTCTACATAGTAAGTTCCAGGCCAGCTGGGGTTACAGAAGAAACCCCTCTCTCAAAAAGACCAAAATAAATCTTTCCATTGGACCTATTAGGTAATGCCTAGTTTTCTCATGAGCTGTCAAAGAATAAAAAGCCTTCTCTCAATCAAGGCTGATTTCATCTTTTTTTTTTTTCAGATGACAACTGTACTGTAACAATTACTAGTCAGTAAACATTTTTCAGTTGCCAAACTAGTGAAAAGCAGAAATCCACAAGAATTTGAAATGTTACTAAAATTAAGAATCTGAAGTAAAAAGCATATTACAAACAGAACAATGATGTGAAGATCAGTTTTATTCACTGAGAAATATGTTCTTTTAAAAATCCATGGCTTAAGTGTTAACTAAATGAACACTGCTCTTCTCAGCACTTTGTCTAGAAAATTCAGTATACTATATGAAAGCAACATTAAAGCACGGAAACTTATTTATGTACAACATGATTTTTTTAAACGCCAAGGTTAAAAGGCACCAGAAATATTGAAAAACACAAAGCAGCAAGGTAGAAATCCTGTAAGATTATCATAATTCAGTTTACTACAGGAAAAATATTTAAGATAAGATTGAAAATAAAATAAACATAGGTTATGATATGGCTAAATTATTGCAAAATATATCGAATTGGCTGGCTGTACAGTGTGGAGGTCACAGAAAATTGTTACTTTAAACTGCTTCTCCACAAATTAGCATGAATAAACACTGTTTTCTAATACGCTACTGAAAAGCATGGTGGTGTTCCCCAAGGGAACTTGGCTCCAATCTAAGTCAGATGAGATGGATAGAGCCAGGATGACAGTATTTGACAGACACTAATAATAAAGATAAATGACATTCTGCAGACTTGCAATATTCCATTTTATTAGAAGTAGTAGAGCACAAAGGTTAAGAACCTGAGCTCTGGAGTCAGTACTGTATTCAAATCCTGGTTCCACCCCTACAGACTGTGTGACCTCAGGGAAACCACTTAACCCTTTCCAAAACTGAGTTTTCAAAGTGTAACAAGGAGTTAGGTATGCCACCCTGAAAGGTTGTTGTAGCATAGAATGTAGGCAACTTCTTAGCCCATGACTAGCTCTCAGGCTGCATTTAAAACTTCCAAACTGATTAGTTTTAAATTACAAGTCAGTTTAACTGATATTTGCTGATACCATGAGAAAGGTTTTTATTGCTTAAGGAAGATTTGTATATGTCGACTGGAGAGATGCTCAGTGGTTAAGAGCTCTGGTTGCTGTTGCAGAAGTCCCAGGTTCGAATCCTAGCACCCACATGGAGGCTGTAACTCCAGTTCCAGGGGATCCAATGCCCTCTTCTGTCCTCCTTGGGTACTGCACAACATGGGTGCACTTACATACATGCAGGCATTACACTCACACACTTGCATAAATATAAATCAAAAATTTTTTTTAAGATTTGTATATGGGCAAAAGGTTTAGAAATACTGGTGTACAAGTGCCTTCTATTACCACTAGTGCTGACTGTGTTTCTTCACAGACCCAATGGATCCTGTTTACCCTGAGCATACACTGTAGGCATGAAATAAAACATCACGCTTTACCTCCTAACTGTAACAATTACTATATGCTAATTAAAGGGAAAAATAAAGTTTTAACTAAAAAAAAAAAACCCTTAAGAAATAAAGAGAAAAATACCAAGATGTTAAAAATGGGGAAAATGTTAATTATTTTTAATACATTGGTTTATCTATTATAATTCTTACACGTTTACAGGAATAAAAGTCAAATCCAGTGGCACAATATTAGACTATGTATAATTCTATGACATCTAAACTGAGTTTCTTTTGAAGAACTGATAGCTAAGATAAACTCCAAATTAGGTAAAAAATTAAATCCAAAGACAAAGAATGTATTTATAGATTTAAATGTATACAGTTGTACTAGCTTCACACATTAGCTATTCTCATGTGTGTATGTACATGCACATTATATATAAATAACGTTTGCAAAGTGACTTGACTTGCACAGAAGTAGCATCCAAATGTAGCAATGTTCCATTCCCACATTCCCATCTCATGAGAAAAACAGCAATTTTTTTCTTTCTTTTTTTCTTTCTGCCTTTTTGAGACAGGGTCTCCCTGTAGCCCCAGCCAGCCTGGAACTCACTATATAGAGCAGGCTGGCCTTAAACTCACAGAGATCTGCCTGCCTCTGCCTCCAGAGTGCTGGGATTAAAGACATGAGCCACCATACCCGACCAAAAACAGCAAATTTTGAAGTTACTCTGAAATTACCTATTTTTTTTTTTAAGGGAGGAAGACTTATTTTAGCTAACAGAAATGCCTATTTTTTTAATTAAGAAGTACAAAATACCCTTCAGGTGAAAGAGCATCAAGTAAGAAATTCATTTGTCTACTTTCACCTTTTAGAAGTTAATTTTGTACTCCAAACCTTTTCCAAGCAAAATCAATACATAAGATAGATACATCATGTCATATTCAGAATAGTATTGATGTCACAGTGAGAGAGTGATTTAAAGACTCAATTCATCCTGTAATTCATGAACTAGTTTTTTAAACTGCACCTTGGAAATCCCAATGTGAGTCCAAACAAAATTTTTTATCTAGTTGTATAAAAACACCAAGTGTGCATTGCATAGTTAAGCCAGGTATTGTTTTCTAAACTTTTGTTTGATGTATGCATGAAAGCTGGGTTACAATGCAAAATGCGTCTCATTCTGAGTTGCTGTGGAAAGACTTGTCAATGCTTTAACACTCAATTTTGCCCTTTGGAGTCCCCTGCAGGCTCTAAGGGTTAAACTCTAGTTAGAGGGCAGCTCAAGGACTAGAACTTAATACTTTAATCAGAAATACAAGTTTATATAGACAGCATGTAGGCTAAGAACTCAAACTGAACAAGTGAGCAGCTTCAATCCTGAGATTTCTTTGTCATCCTTAAAGAACAAAACTAACTTGGCCAGGTCCATAATCAGCCCTTACTATTTTAATTTCAAACTATAAATCGTAGCTCACAACAGCGGTCAGGGAGCAAATGAAAAGGTGAGATCCTAATGACTTTAGAACACTATTAGGAAGATATTTGCCTTTACAAAGAATTTCTACTCTGAAAAAGCACTGATTAAAAAACAGGATTTGACATAAAAACACAGAAAAATAGCAGTGTTTTTCATGTTTATCTTAGACTACTAAGACTGCCCTATGAAAAATGAAGTGTTTGCAAATCACCAACGAATACTGTTCTCTTAGTTTCGCCTGTACCAACTCACCTATCTCAGAATGCTGGATGGACTAGCATGCCAAGGGTGACTGGAGAACAAGTAACAGGAAAATGGCAGACAATCCTCTTTGAATGAGATCCCTTGGCCATAAAAATCTATCTAGCAGAAATGAAAGTGATTTATAATACATGCAATAGTGGTATTCACCCGAGTCATTGGTGGTTAGCTCCTGAAGTTAGTATTTGTTCATTTTTTTTATTTCTTTGAGACAGGGTCTCCTTGTAGTCCCAACTAGGCTGGAACTCAACATATATGGCATTGATCACAAAGATTAAAGGTGTGTTCTTTTTTTTAAATTTTTTATTTTACATGTATGTGTGTGTTTCTTGCATGTAGGTAAGTGCACCCATGTTGTGCAATGCCTACAGAGATCAGACAAGGCTGTCGGATCCCCTGGGAATGGAGTTACGGAGAGCTGTTAGCTACCATGCGGGTGCTGGGATTCGAACCCGGGTACAACCAGTGTTCTTAACTGCTGAGCCATCTCTCCAGCCCCAAAGGTGTGTTATACCATGCCCAGCTTGAGATTAGGTCTTTGATACTGAGAAAAAGTCTGCCTTGCAGACTACTCTAAGTCAACCACTTTATTCATTGACACACGCAATCCTATCCATCTATGTCTACCATAACTAAATTCAGGCTAGGTAATATGTGGGGGCTCATGAGTCAAAACTTATCTTTGCTTCAGCACTATTAATATCAGAATCAGTAAAAACTTCAATAAACCACTTATTTCTATTCACAGAGCTCAATTTTAGCGCAAATTTTCATGTGTACTCTTGGGCAGACAGTGATGTTCAGAATGCCTGCCCCCCGCCAAGCTCCAGAAACAATAAACATTGTGTTATCGAGGTCTATTCAACACAAATGTCTACATGCAACTTCCTTGCCATTCGCCTTATATAAATATCTCTACCTCTTTGAAAAGAATGAAAAAGAATGAAATTTACCCATTCTTCACTTGAATTTTATAACTACGTGAAGGGTATTTTATGAGTAACTATTTTTAAAATCAGAAAGGAAAAAAATAAACAAACAGGAGCCCAAGTGCTATACTGCCCCATTCCCTTTTCCCGTTTCTCATAACAAACCTTTATCACATTTAGGGCTGATGTGTCTCTGACCATCCCTTCTGAAGCTTCGTTTCCTATCTAAATATCCTTCCTACTGTTGGTGAACATACAAATACACTCAACGCTGAAATAATTGCCCTCATAAAACTGTTTGTGCTTTGTAACTGGGATACGACTTACTCATGGCACACAAATCATGGCTACTGAGGCTTGCTTTCTGGACCTTCCATGTCATCTTTCAATCTCCCCGCCCCCTTTTCTGAGCCCAGAACCCACTCTGTAGCCCAAATGGGACTCAAGTTGAAATCTACTGCTTTCAGTCTTCCAAGTGCTGGAATTATATACGTGTACTACCATGCCCAACCCGAATAACTCTTTCATTCAGTCTACCTTGTTGGAGGAGTAAGTCTATTAAACATTTACAATCAGTGGATTTGAAATGAACTTCAGACTGAGCAGCATTCTCATGCACACACAGCATTCACACAAACCCATCTCTCACTCTCACAGGCAAGCATACACACACATTTTCTTTCTTTCCAGAACAAGCCAGAATTACAGCTCTTTTGGTGATTGTTGTAATTTTTTGGAATGGTTCATAAATTTTCCAAATTCTTTAAAATTTGTGATATTTTCATCTTTTTTTTCCCCCAATTGTGAACCATTCCATATTGCATCTTTATTGCAAAAAGTCAACATGCTTCTTAGAAATTCAGATTGTAATCGATAAAACAAACATTACATATATGAATTTAAATGTATAAACAGTTAGAAATTCAACAATATCTCCTATTATACTATTACACAAGTTCACAATTTTGTAAAAACTATAATACAGGCATACTATACATCAAGAGGAACCACTATTCCTTTTCACATGATTTTTTTCTTTTTCTTTTTGAAATAATGATCCATCATGGACCCTTTTCACCCTAACAGGACCACCTTCCAGTGTCTCAGCGGGGGATAACATTTTACCAATGCTACGTGAAGAAATGGAGCATAGTTTTGCTTTCCTTGGGGTTCTTTTTAGGCTTGGGCAGGAATCAAGTAAATCAGGCTGACCGAGTCACACTGGCAACTGTTACTGCTCATCTGCTACATGTAAAGATAACATACACATTAACAGCCGAATTTGCCTCAATTACTATATTTTATCACTGTAAATAAAGATGACAAGAAAACAAGTCATGGTATTCACTTTTAAGAGAAATTCTAACAGTTGGGGATTGGCAGATAGGGGTTAAAAAAAAAATCCCCAAGGGGAGATACACACACACACACACACACACACACACACACACACACACACAATTTACCTGTTCTGTGCTAACTTTAAGCTTCATAATAATATAATTAATCCATATTTTAATTCATTTTTTAGTAAAACATGTTTTAGAAAGGACATTTGAAAAGAATTTCAGTTCTTCTTAAGGTACATTGAAAACCCAAGTTTTATACAAATGACCCAAAACCTTAAGAAGAAAACACCTATCTGGTTCTTCACTTTAGCACTTTCCTCTTTCATCCTCTGCCCTCAACAACTAAAAAGCCAAACAAATCCTCAATTCTCTATAGTGAGTGTAAAAAGATGTCAATTTTGAGGTTAAAAAAAATCATATGAAAAGGAATCTCATTCTGTTGAACTGTCAGTCTACTGAAAATTTTCTTACAGCTTCATTAATTTACTGTAATTTTCAGTTTCCAAATACAAAAATACAACAATTCTTATTGAAATCTATACGCTGGTAGTTTTAGTACACAAAAGAAAAAAACCCAAACAAATTATTTACAAAATTATACAGTTTAAGAAAAAACTTTGTACAAAAAATATATAAATCCTTTGTTCCCTCTATCACGTTTAAACGTCAGGACTCAAAATATTCACCACAATGAATCTTTCCAAATATATACTGACTGAGCCACAGACATCAAGAAAATTTCATTAGAGATAATGAAGAAGTAAGGAGCAAGATGCTTATTGTAGGTCCCTCATTCTAATGGTGTCCTTTATGAGCTTGTTTGAGCTTCAGTGTTATCAGAAACATGACAATACCCTCAAGAGGAAGTTCCATCACAAAAGGACAACTACACAAACTTAAAAATGATCTGGGTGTTTGACACATCATTCCAGAACAATATGCAGAGTGGAAAGATGATCAGAACATGGGACTGAACTTCTTGTATCCAAGTAAATCTAGAGTCCTGGTGGTTTTAAGTTTCTTAGTGAATAGTTTCTATTTTGAGAAATAGTCTTTACCTCAGGGAACAAAATCCTTGATATAGTGGATCAACAAGAACCTTCTGAAGCCAACAGGAAGTTTCAAATTTTCACACCATACATATTAAAACACAGATGTATATATCCTTGAAAAAGTGACATCCTATGTACAGTAATCATTTTATTTCCCCAGGGGTCAGTACAGGGTAGTGTTGCTCCTCTGCTTGTCCATCTAACATTCAGAACACAAGGACGTAACTTTACACATATATTTTACTTAACAGAGTGTACAGTAAAAATGCACACAATAAAGGAAACTGCCTACTCAAGTATGTGTATGTTCATGGACAGCAACAGCTACAAAATTCTGAAAATATAAGGTCATCCGATCAATGTCACGTTAGGACTCCCGTTTATTACTAGCTTACCAGGTCCTACCCCACACCCCAGCACCTCACCATCATGGTTTAAATTTAAGAAAAGAATTTCAGACACTTTTTAATCCTTTTGTGTAACTATGACTATGCTGAAGCTTTAAACGAGGGGAGGGTTAGCCAGTGACTCTTTCCTCTAAAATTCTTCATTTATTCTCACCATTCTCACCAAAACATCACTTATTTATCAAGGTGACTGATTTTTTTTTATATACTGTTTTTTGGGGGTTGTTTGGGTTTTTTTTTTTGTCTTTTTGAAACAGGGTCTTCCTGTAGCCCCAGCTGGCCTAGAATTCACTATGGAGACCAGGCTGGTCTTGATCTCACAGAGATCTGCCTGCCTCTGCCTCCCCAGTGCTGGGATTAAGGGCATACACAACCACGTCCAACTTGGTGACTGATTCTTGATGGCCCAACTGAATCACTTATTTCAGTAAGTCAGGCCTATTAATCACAAGGAATGAGGAAGAAAGGAGGGAATGAGTGATGGGACAAAAGGTATATGAGGTTTTTAAAAGAGAGGACCAAGTGACCGGATGCTCGCCACCTACCAAAACAAAGGAAGATCATCAGGGGACAGTTCAGGAGCTAGTGTGATGGAGGCAGAAGTGCCACAGTGCTAGCTATACTGCCCTGCAACATTTATGAGCAGAGTTTGCAATTTTCACTGTAGTACTACTGCACAAAAAACTCTGGAAAAAAAAAAAAAAGACTGAATACAAAGTGGGCTTTTCCAACAGTAAAAAAAATAATAATAATAAAATAAATTTATTTTTCTTCCAAGACAACACTTGAAAGCAAAAGGGTATTTAAGCTATAAATATAATAGCTCCTACTGTCTGAGGACCCATCCATAATAGCTAAGAGTTAAGAAATTCCAGGCCATTTTGACATTTAATGAAATTTTATCAGCAGATTATAATCCAAAATAAAATTTCTGAACACCCTGTCATTTACATTGTAATCCGACACCAACAGCAACAAAAACAGGTGGTGTGGGAGATAAGGCTCTAGAGAATCCATGCCATTCTTGTGGATCTTCTCAACTGTAAAGTCACTAGGCCTTTGGTGCTTTAATATCCCAGACAATTATGAGATGTGTTTAAATAGCAAACTTGCTGTCCTTAAACCTACTGTGTTGAAGAGAAAAATAAACAAAATTTTTTGGCTCATTGACTTCTTTAAATAATTTTAAAAAGTTGTTCTTCTAAACAATATTTCTAAAAATTATACAGCTCGCATCAAATTTCATCTTCGCCATGAACGAGACTCATACTCATCTTCATCTTCATCATCATCATCATGCAAGAACAAATCTGAGGTTTCTGTTTCCTGAAGAAACAAAGGATAAAATCTGCTTAGTCGTAGACAAACACTAAGCAAAACAGCCATCTGATAAGTAAGCAGAGCTTCTGTACTTGATAACCTGCCCCATTTCCCACAACACATTTTTCAAAACAGACTATTACTTCTTATCCTCTGTTTATTTTGAAAATATTAATAGGAGATTTCCATTCTAAAATCATCAGGAAAATAAATACTAAGTGAAAGCCAGGCAAGCAAATTTGTGATTCTGAAGGCAGCCTGGGCCCTTATAGGGTCAGACCCTAACTGAAAAAAAAAAAAAACCAGGAGGTTGGATGTGGTGGTGCATGCCTTTAATCCCAGCACTCAGGAGGCAGAGATGGGTGAATCTCTGTGAGATCAAGGCCAGCCTGGTCTACTGAGTTCTAGGTCAGCTGGGGCTACAGGCAGACCCTGTCAAAATAAACAAAAAATATTAAGGGGATGTTTAGAAGAAAACAAAATCTATGAGAACTGTCTCTAATAAAAATTAATTGACTTTATTTCACTAACTTAAAAGTGATGAAAATATGGGCATGGTGGCACATGCCTGTAATCCTGTAATCCCAGCACTCGGGAGGAGAGGCAGGTGGATCTCTGTGAGTTCCAGGCCAGCCTGGTCAACAAAGTGAGTTCCAGGCCAGCTGGGGATACAGGGAGACCCTGTCTAAAAAAGACAAAAAAAAAAAAGGAAAATAAACACTTAAAATTCACAAATCTCTCCTGGAACATCTATCCAATTATTTGTGAGGAATGAATATGCTATCTTTCCCATGACACTAACATATACACATAAAATCATACATAAAATCTAAACTCTTGGGTATATGCCAAGGAGTGGTATAACTGGGTCAAATGGTAGGTTCATTTGTCAAATATCAGGTGGCTGAAATTGAATTTTCCATAGTGGTTGCAAGAGTTTGCATTCCCTCAAGCAGTGAATGAGTGTTCCCTTCTCCACGTCCTCGTCAGCATTTGGTATCATTTGTTCTCTTGATCCTAACCAGTCTGATTGGGGTAATGCGATACCTTAGGGTGGTTTTAATTTGCATTTCCCTAATTACTAACAATGTTGAACACTTTTTGAGATGTTTCTTAGCCATCTTTATTTCTTCCTTTAAGAACTCTCTGTTTAGATCTTTAGCCCATCTTTTAATTGGGTTATTTGGTTTCTCACTTCTTTGATTTTTGAGTTCCTTATATATTCTGGATGTTAAACCTCTGCCAGATGTGTCACTCATGAAGATTTTTTCCCACTCTGTGGGTTTTCTCCATGCTTTATTGATTGTTTCTTTTGCTGTACAGAAGCTTTTTAGCTTAATGAAGTCCTACTGTTGACTGTTGGCCTTAATTCCTGAGCAACTTCTGTCCGATTTAGAAAATCCTTTCCTAAACCTATCTCTTGTAAGTTTCTGCCAATATTTTCTTTTAATAATATCAGGGTTTCCAGTTTCACATTGAGGTTCTTGATACATTTCGAGTTGACTTTTGTGCAAGGTGAAAGCTAAGGATCTAGTTTCATTCTTCTACAGGTGGAGATCCAGTTTTGCCAGCACCATTT